GCAACGGCTCCATTACTTTCCCCAGATGTAAAGTAAAATATGGTTTACGGATGAGTGTAGAATATTTATTTATCGTAAAGACGGACGCAGTAAGGTGACGGGCTGAAGAACGTTTCGCTACGCATACGGATCTCGTCGTGATCGACAGAGGTGCGTTAACAGCAGTAAGGTACATAAAGAAAATCTTATATAATGTGATGCCCTATGCTGGATTTATTGGCAACGAATTCCTGCTAATGCAGGATAATGCGAGACCACACACGGCAAGGATAGTAATGAAGTACCTTGACGAGGTTTCTATTCCAAAAATAGACTGGCTTACTTAAAGCCCCGATTTAAATCCTATTGAGCATATATGGAGCCTGCTAAAAAGTCGCGTTAGGCGTCGCATACCTGCTCCAACATCACCTGGAGAGCTTCAGATGGCACTCATTGAGAAATGGGCCACTTTTTCCCAAAGAGATATAAAACGCTATATATTCGATGCCAAATCGAATGAGGAATGTCATCCAGAATCAAGGTGGCAATACCCATTACTGAAAATGGATACCAGCTTTTTTTAATATACAGTTCATTGTTGATTTAAAGACTGTAAGTTGATTTTTTCAATAAATTTCCTATTTTTCTTAAATTTTTATTTTTGATTAATGTTTTATGATAATGATGAAAATTTTATACTAAAACGAGTTATTGATTCAATATACAAAAAAAAATAAATGCTTAATTTTGTGGCAATAAATTATAATTTCGAAATATTTTAAATATTTGGGGTGTCAAATAAAGTGTTAATTAACGTAGAAATATTAAAAGACTGCGTCCCCAATTGGGGTTGATCGCAATTTATACTCGTTGCCAAACAAAATTTAAACAGCAATTAAAAATCACGTTTCTGGTCCTTTGTGCAATACGATGCCTTGGGGATTGCAATATGTTGTATTACACATTATATTTGTATGTTAATTGACAACGTCAGATCAAATCAGAACTGAAATTTTGAATGGTTTCTTTAGAGGTTGCCAGTGTGGCCATAAATTGTCAAATCGTCACTGAAACAATTGTCGAAACTGCCTACATTACGGATATAATCGTCGAAACAGAAGATGATATTCCTTTAGTTTTCATAAACATGTTTAAACAAACTGTTTTTCGACACTTTTTAAATCAACATTTTTTATTGGGAGGAGTGGTACCTTTGGCAATTCTGGTATAACTACTTCACCATGGTCTCTTCTTCTTTTTACATGCATATGCAGATCCAAAAGGTAATTGCAGTTTTTGGAACTGTACCACGAAAGATATCTACAGATGAGTGGTTAAACCGTGTCCTCAGTTCCTTCAACCATGAATTCTGGCGTCATGCTACTGACATTTTACTTTCTATTATGAGTCGAAATAAATCGTGTCTTTCACCTCTTAATACATCACCCAAAACCGAATTTTTCTTTCTATGTTGTTTATTGATTCTTTTTGTTAACTCATACGCTGGAGAACTTCATCATGGCTTTTTTATACTTCAACCAGCGACTTTTTGCTCCTTAACAGTTTGCTTACTTGATTTATCTGACTAAGATCTTGGTAAATGTTAGAGATTTACATTTCCTCTAATATATTTATATACTTCTTTCTTTTCAACTGTCGAACATTCAGTTACGTACATCGCAGAAGTCATTACGGCTGTCTTAGTATTATAAATAAAAGTGTCGTAAAAACATCCAATATCTTTATCCTAATGATTGTCGACTACAGCAATGGAACACTTCTAACGCATAATTTTAAACATATAAGAACAAGAGGGTAAGCGGCTGTTGAGAATCGCCCGTTACATCCACCGTGACGTTAGAAGCCACGTCTATGGAGGTATGTCGCTTACCTGTTACAGACAGAAAATGGGTCAAGAGCGTTCTAAAAACGTAAAAAAGTATCAACAGCGTCACAGCTAAATAAAACCGTCGCTTAATCTGTGAGCGTGGTGTTTATATAGTCTGATTGTTAATTATGGGGTCCCCTAAACGCGCCTTACACTACTAAGGACTAAGTTGAACGACGCAAAGAGTGTCAGCACCTACTTTGTAACACGTTTTGACTGCGTTTAGTTTTAAGATTTTATTACCTTTTGTATGATTTGGTATTTTTTTATTTTTATAATTCAAGTGATTTTTGTGAAAGGGGTAGTTATGCATATGTAAGAGGAAGGAGTACTCAATATTGAACCATTTTTAAAATCATACCCTCTAGAACTTCAATAAAAATCAATCTAATGTTTTGTATAATTTTCAATATAAATGAATGTTTTTAGTTACCCTCTACACATCGATACTGCATAAGAGTTATTTCATAATAAAGACTAGAGTATTTACTTTCATAAACAGTTTTGAAAGTGTAACAATAAAACACTAAAAGAAGTTCGTGTAACCTTCTGGCGAGAAGGTCTAGTGTTAGGGATTTCGGGTCGCGCAAGCGCTCCTAACATGACTTAATGACTACTTTCGTAGCCGGGACCGACGGCTTTACGTGCCTCCTAAGCACGGTGGCAGCTCAAGTGAGAAAGTGTCGTTTTATTGTTACATAAAATGAATTTCCATCAAGTAACGTCGAATCCATCAATTCGTTTTCAAAGTTTTAACAAAATAAAAATAAAAACAAAATACTGTGGGTACAAGAGGGGTTTATGAATTTTTCATTTAATATTTAATTAAAAAAAATGGTTGTTTATTGACTACTTACCTTCTGTCATATCCATAACTGCACCTTTCACAAAACTCACTTGAAATATTATAAAAATAATTACCAAATCATACAAAAAGTGTAGTAAAATCTCAAAACTAAACGCAGGCAAAACGTGTTACGAAGTGGGTGCTATAAAATTTGTTTGATAAGGCTATTTGTGGTGGGAGAGGTTCCACATGGAGTCACATATAGCTACCTGGTTTAGGAACAATTGCCCGAAATGCTAGTTTTAAACTAGCAACTTTGTATGCAAAATACCACTCTGCGATGGTATGGTCATAGTATTTCCATGGGCAACATCCTCTCCTTATATAACATGTGAAGATTTGAAGAAAATCAAAACTCCATATATACTAAGTCAAGTAATAGTCCTCACTTCATATCGCAATAAATTATCGATATTTTTTAATGTATACCAGGTGTTTCGTCTAACTGACAAAATGAACCTCCAAGCTGAGTACTGAGTCTCAATATATCGCAGTATGCGAATGCCTGTACCAGGTACAGCCAATTCAGAGATCACATCGAAAAGATTATAATATCCATATTCGTCCGCTTAACGGTCTGATCTGTTGGTAAGGATAGATACTACCGTAAACAGATCATCTCAATGAAAATAAGGGCTCGTGTGTCAATCGTATACGAACTACGATTGCCTAGTAAAGTCATTTTTTTAGCCTTTCGACTCTAGAGACACTAAGAAATATCGTTGCCACCTTTGACTAGAGAGAATACGACCTTACAGGCGTTCAGACATTATTCTAAGGATACTTCACACCATTACTCGCTTGAGTTAATGGCCTTTGCTCACAAGATCTAATCCCAACTCACATCCATTATCAATGGATGAACATCCAATGCTTGACAATTTTCTGCTTCAAAATTATAGAAAAAGTCGCATCCAAGAATCCAGGTTAACTGGTACAGCACGTATTGTAAACACGTAAACAGGAGATAAAGAAGACACAAATAAATGATTATTTAAATGGGAATAGGCCACAATTAAAGCTTAAAGTAAGTTTATTGACAATTCAATTTTCACTTCGGAAAGAAAGTGGAAATGAAACGTCAATAAATTTACTTTAACCTTAATTGTGGCTTATTCCCATTTGAATACTAATTAATTTAAAATGCCACAAGAAAATAGTTCCAGAACAATATTAAGACACGAATAAACAGTACTACTTTTAGGAAATAAGGGTTACAATCCAACAAAACAGTGATTTGGAGATAGGCTTAGCATATAACAGTAAGAAAGTTTATATCGGTGACACCCTCTAAAACGTATCCTCATCGCTTCTTACCATACCTCAAAAATCATGCAACAGGCACAAATTGTGATAGCATAAAATTGAATAACGCATTTCAGGTTCGTTATTATATAACCTATGGTTATTGAAACTTAACAAACGAACTCGATAAATGAATAATGACTTGTACTATTTCCTATAAAAATCAATATTTCTGTAATACATCAACTATAAGTATACATTGAGCCTAGTTCTCTATCAAGCGTGTGAATTACCGATTTTTTCCTAACAATTTGCTAAACATCAAAGAAAATAAAATGTATTTGTAATAAACAGTAAAGGATCGTCTAATTTCACATATTTTCGAATATTTGTAACACAAAAATTTAGAAAACATTTTCTTTTGCCTGTCATGAGCAGTCTATTTAGCAAGAACCCAGACAATACAAAACACTGTGTGACAACACTGTAGAAGAAGCAAAAACACTTCTCTGTACCGACAATCAAATGAAAAATGCGTGGGTTATATAAATACAAAACCTTATATGGTAGATACAACAAATTATATTTAAAAATTCCTCCAATGTGAAGGATGACACAATTTTCCATTTTGTTTTACAATTTCTAATGTATTTTCATTTTCTCATGCTTGTCCATCACAAAATCCTCTTTCTTAATCAATCGTTAGTAGCACCAATGGTACAGATGATCTCAGAGATCTTAGGAGTACAACAGACTAAATTTAACATATTTGTGTGCACTATTTCCCTCGTTTACCTTCACCAAGCTTTATAGCATACTAGATTCTGCGTACGCATAAAATTTATGGCGCTACACTGTTGCCGCACTTTATTATGTATTAGTTCTTACTAAATAGATACAAACATGCCAAACAACACAAATTTATTTTACTTTAGTAAATTTACTTATAAAAAATTATAATTTGAAATCAAATTATGCCAATATTTGCCAATAATTGAATCTTAAAAGCTTCACAATCTTTTAATAACGTACGTACACCAGTCCCACAACAGTTTGCAAGATGTTACTTACTCCAATCTTCCTAATAAGGTCACTAACAATATTCAATGCCATAACCCTCGATGCTGGTGATATGGGAGCTTGATAATCATCTGAAAACACATGACGCATGTCTTTTCAGCAACTAATATGTTTAGTTCTAGCACTAAGCATGCCAAAAATTGTTTATACTAGTTTTTTATAACAAAAATAAGGGCTGAATGTGATAGGATAGTTGTTGTTACGGCAATGCGAATCTAACGATGTTTACTGAAAATAATTAGGTTATGATTGTCTGAGTAGCTACTGACTCGCCAAGCCGTAAGCAAATTTAAGTAAGGGTGTCTCTATATTCGATCGGTACCATTCTACTACAGAGTGTTCGCGATAAAGTTAGAAACATTAATCTTTAAACTTGGTTTTAGAGTTTAATACATATTTCTATATCAAAATTCATCAAATACCAAGCACTCTCAGTGATAGAGTTTTGTTGGTTCAATATATTAACAATCTGTATATAAATACGATTGTTAACCACGTCCATTGACGACTTTGTTGAGGTGACAGCTGACAAAGGAGTTAATAGTAAATGACAATTGACAAGATACTTGGTGAAAATTATGAACGAAAGTTGACAAATAACTGGATAATACATGACAATTGATAGGAGATCGACAAAGAAATGATTGAAAATGTAAATATTGTCGAGTAGATGAAAGAGAACAACCTGGTGGTTCTCCATACTTATTCAAACTTCCCAAAAGATGCCTTTATATATGAAGATCTCCTCAAAATGGCGAGAGACCAAATAAATTACATTAAAATTACCAGCAAACTCCGCTAAACACATAAATATGCCCAAGCTGTGACATAAATTCATACCGCAATCCAGCAGCCGCAATTAGGAAAATGAAATCAAGTTAAAAAAAATAAACTAGAACTGTGTTGCCCGAAATAAAAAAAAAACAATTTTAACAAGGAGTAGGTAGACAATAGTTGTATTTAAAAACAATCAATTAGAGCTCTATCAAAATATAAGCTCTCAAATGTGGAAAATATAGGCAAAAAAGAACGTAAATAAAGAAAACACTTAATAACAAACTAAATAACCCAATAATTGTAAAGAAAGTGTGAGGAAAAATAAAAACGGCATTACACAAAAAATTCATCAGGTAAATTAAAAATGACAAAAAGAATATAAATATGCAAGTGAAACAAAAAAAATAGAATTAAGCATAAAGATCCCATGATTCGTTAAACAATGTACACCCAAATATTTATCTATAGTGACAAATAAAATCAAAGAAATAGACTCACGCCCGAAACAGAAAAATATAACAAAATTATTTGGAACATCTATTTGATAATTAAATAACAAAGAAATAGATAATAATCAACAATTGACTACACTCATACAAGAAGTTACGCAAACACCAAGCAACGAAGCACAAGGCGAAGACTTAAGGGCCCATAACCGCTTTGATCACGTTTAGCAGATTCAAACATTTGTATTTACAACAAAAAGTGGTCATAAAACTTTGATTTTTAGAAGTGTTTAAATCATCTAAACAACTTGATCAAATACGAGCACCTTGTCACCCGTTAAATGTCCTTTTTTACAATATATATCTTTTTTGTCATTTTATCTCATTTTTCGTATACTTACTCTGTGACAATACTTTCTGAAAAGCAAATAAATATAGATGTACGAGGTTTGTCTTTTTAGTTTTGAATATAGCCGCTTAGAGGACGCCGGCAATAAAACCTTCCGACAAAAATGTAACCTCAATCTTTTGTTGATACGATTAAATCGAGTCATTGCGATACAACAAGTTGTATAGATACAGTGAATTTTTAAAATTAGCAAGTCGATCAAAAAATGGATCTTAACCGAGAACATTTTCGAGCAATCATTTTTTATAATTTTCCCAACAGCAGTCTTGCTGAAATGATTTCTGTGTTTGGGAATGAAGCATTACACCAGTCAGCCATTTCCCGCTGGTATTGCGAATTTCAACGTGGTTGCTCTAGTCTCAAGCGAGGAATCCATGCCAGGTTCACCCAAAACAACAGTCACGCAGCAAAACATTAATGCGTTTCGTCAGCTAATTAAGGATGACTGCCGTGTAACATATCGGGAGATAGAGGCATCTTTGGCCATTTCAAATACCTCTATCCAAAAGAGCTTACATGAAGAACTGGGCGTTATGAGGTTGGTTTCCCGTTAGATCATTGAAGAGAAAAAATGGGTTCGCGTCAATTGGTGTCGAAAAACATGGGAACGGAAGATGAATCTTGGATTTACTCCTACGAACCGGAAAATAAACGCCGATCCGCTGTGTGGGTGTTTCACGATAAGAAAAAACCAACAAAAGTGATCCGTTCTCGAAGTGTGTCACAGAAAATGGTCGAAAATTATGTCAAAATCTGGTCATGTGGCAACAATTGCTTTAGAAGATCGAATAACGGTTACTTCTTATTGTTATTATTATTATTATTAAACAACATACATCGGCGAATCATCCTACATAAGGACAATGCAAGTGCTAACAATGACCAAAAGACAATAGAGTTTTTGGAGCTTCAAAACATCAAATTGTTAAAACCATCCACCGTATAGCCCCGACCTAACTCCCAACGACTTTTTCCCGTTCCAATAACTCAATGCGTGGACAGCGATTCGAGTCGCCAGAAAAAGCCATTAATGAAGCCAACTTTTAAAACAGCGATTTTGCAGGTGTCAACTGAAGACTAGAATAATTGTTTTACCAATTGGTTTCAACGTATGCAAAAGTGTATCGATCTTGGTAAGTATTTTGAAAAGCAATAAAGTACGTTAAGTCTATATATTTTTTGTTTTTACGGATATATGCAAAACTAAAAAGACAATCCCGTATTATTAGAGATAAAAACCCAGAATCATTTTTGAAAATGTGTCACACGGCTCCGGATTATCAAGGAGATTCGTGCATCGAATCACTGACTCGACGATTCCGCATCTTCAAGAACGATTTAATACGCTTCAGACATGTCTACGACCCTTAACTTTGGATTAAATAAGAACCATTTTATCTCTACTCACCTTCTTGAACCTGCACATTTATTAGCCCATCACTATATTGTATAAATATCCTTATTTTTGTTACAATAAAAATTCTAGAAACAATTAAACTATGCAAAACAGTTACGTTTTTAACTAGTGGATGAGAAACATGCACGGCAGAAAGAAATGGTTATAAAATATAGAAATGTTAAGGAAAACAAGTGAAAAGTTGAACAAATAATTTATTTCACATTTTTAATTTCCCACCTCGAATTGTCGGATGAACAATGTACAAAGTACGAAGTTGTTCAATACATTATACGAGTTTTGTCGTTCGATAGGAGATAACGCTATTCGATTGGTCTTTTCATTTTTCTAAAGATGGCACTACTGTTTGAAGAACAGATGTGAAGTTGTATGTAGATCTGTGAACTCATTCGTAATTTAGTTGCTTTTCGAAGTTGACGTGTCGTGTCAGAGCATTTTTTACAGTGAAAATATGGAATAGATATTTTTAAAGAAAACAAAATTTTATTTTTCGGAGGACGTAGCGCCAACACAAATTAATGAATGTTTTTTGCTAAGTATCTAAGAACTATATCGCCGATTAGTTAAGTAGAAGGTAGATTGTGAAAATTAAAGGTAATGGCACAAGTCTTGAAAAAGTTCCAGATGAAGTACGGCACCAATGCTTAATAATCAGCAAAAATATACAGGATACGATTTTTGAAGATTTTCAATTAACTATTATAGTACAAGATCCCTCTGCAGGTTACATTTAAAATTAGGAGAATACATTGATAAATAGGTTGACAGTCAAAAAGTGGCCGCAAATATTTTTAAATAATTAACTTTTGAACAAAACTTTTATTTCGATCATTTATTTTTTAATTAAAATACGCTGCTCATGACGTATATGCATGTTTTTATATCAAATGATAGCTATTTTTTTCTTTATATGATGATATAAAGTTGTCTGAAAAAATGGTCGCAAATTAGGGTTGCCAGCTGTTAAAAACGCGATATATCAAAAGATAAAGCCAAAGTTAGCACGCAGCAACACTGTTCTGACAAGTGATAATATGTATATTATCAATTATATTATCAGTAGTAATATCCCTAGGACATTGATAACAGACGAGATAATTTCATGACAATCGAAAGCTCGTTCCTTGGTAACAGCACGAAGCCGAAGGCTGAGTGCTGTTACCAAGTAACGAGCTTGAGAAATTTGTCATGAAATTATGAGGCATTCATCAATGTCCGAGGGATATTCGGCGGATAATTTTTCGAAAAAAAAAAATCATAACTCAACATAACGAAACAGTTATTTATTAAAAGTACAGTTAGTGAAAGTACAATTATTAAAATTTAAGTTAACATTAGATTCGTTGCTGTTCTCTACTATAGAAGATCTATTACCACGCATAATATTTATAATCTTGTTGTGGTGTTCTTGATCGAGATTAAAGTATGGTTTTATAGAAACGTGACATTTTGAAATTTATTTGGATGAAGTTGTCAAACTCGATCGTGTTGTCATAGGAATTGAAAATTGCACCGAATGCAATTATCAGTCTAATGTTGACATGATTGGGTGAAATTGTTCCACATGACACAAAATGACGAAATTTGAATGGTTGTTAGAACAGTCGAAAAATTATCAATTATTAATTAATTGCTATTGAATTAATTCAAAAGTTATTTAATTCAATTCATTAAATACAAAAATTAATTACTATTGAATTAAAAATATTGGCAGCCACTTTTTGACTGACAACCTATTATAAATGTTTTCTCCTAATTTTAAATGTAACTATTACATTGATTAACTACGTTATGAACATAGTGATCCTGCAGTGGGATCTTCTCTCTCTGGATATCATTCGGTGGTGTGAGCAATATTTTGGCTTTCAGAAAGGTGTTCACATACTGGAACGGAACTTTTTCGCCAATATTTGGATCGATTTTATACATCGTTTCATCACTATTGTTCAGATTTGGATCTATCATGATCCTTAATAAAAACAAGAGATTAAAGAGTGCTGTGAACCCAGTACCTCTACTTCG